TATTAGAGAGAAGTTTCCATAAAGGAAAAACTCTAACAGAAACAATTATAATTAGATAAAATTTGCTTACTAAACCAAACAATGACCCTAATTGTTTTCTAACACATACTTTAAAAGGCAAAGATTTTAAATATGTAATAAATATATATTCTTGCCATAAATTTATATAAAAATAAAAAAATATATTAATTTTAATTTTAATACCACATAAATTAATTTAATTAAACGAATAATAAATTAAAAATTAATTTTTTAATATAAATTTATGATAAAAAAATATATTTATTGTATATTTAATATGTGATTTTAAGTTCATAGGTGATGTAAACTGATGGGATTCACAATAAATAAAATAATAAAGGGAAAAATTCATTTCTTTTTCTTAAAAAAGTTTTCTATTTAATTTTTATTTTTAAGGTAAAATTTAAAATTATAATAAATTTATATTAAAAAATAAAATTAATCTTTAATTTATTAATTAAATTTATTTATGTAATAATGATATATTTATTATAAAAATAAAAATTACTTACGTATAAATTTTATATATCATATTTAAATAAAATTTTAGCAGTAAAAACTGAGGATTTATCCGTTGTTAGACACGTCCAACGTGTTAAAGGGCAGACGAGTTCTTACATCACATTGTAATTGAATGATTTCGGATCCATCTCTGGTCTGGATTCTGCAAGACACACAATCCTGTCATTTTAACGGAGACAAAATCCGGTACAAAATGGAAGGGGAATCGGGTTCCGGCACGAAAACGCCACTGCTGAGTAGGAGCGGGAGACGGTCGGGACTGCACCTGAGGAAGAACTCGGTGAACTCGCTGAGGAAGGAGTTTGTATCAAGTTTGCCGGAGAAGGTTCGCTGTGGTGTTGATGATGAGTCTCCTTTCGACATTGATGTCTCAAAAACCAAAGGTTTGACGAAAGGTTAGAGCTTTCTCTCTGTTTTGTCATCTATCTAGCCTTGTTTGTCATAGGTATCTCAATATTGGTTTTGTTCTCATCATCGCTTGATGACGTTCATTTCTGGGTTTCGATGGAAATGTTAAAGGGTAAGATGGACATCGAATCACTTCTCTAGAGTCCATTTTGCTGAGAGATAAGAATTTGATGAGATGACCCTTAATGCAATAATGTGTGTTTGATTTCTGAGAAAATGTAGAAGACATGGGAGTTTAAAATAAAGGAGATAACTGTGTGATTCTCCTTATTTTTGTTCAGTCTTTCTTCTTTTTATGAGTTTTATGGATCCATTTTGTACCAGACAGAAACAAATGATAAGGTTTCTAAGAGAGTGATTTTGTTTTCCCTGTTTTCTTGGCAACCAAGGAGAGCCAGAGTTTAATCAGGATTGACAAATCATTGTTTCAATGTGTAGGGGAAGAGGAGTACTATGAAAAACAATTTGCAACCTTGAAATCCTTTGAGGAAGTTGATGCTTTGAATGCGTCGTCAGGGGACGTTGTTGACGAAAATGAGCAAGATGAGGAGCAAATTCAACAAGAAAGAGCCATGAAGATTTCTAATTATGCAAATATAATCTTGCTGATACTCAAGGTGAGTTTTTACTACTAATTTCATGGTCAATTTAATCTCCAGAATCGTTTCTCATCATTATTGAATCTTTATGGCGGAAACTATGCTTGGCAATTGACTGCGAGGATTTTATGATGCATTGGAATCTGTGAGTCCTTTTTATATATTCTTATATTCCCAATGCTAAGGTAACAATTTGCATGTTGTACAGATCTATGCCACAATAAGGAGTGGATCCATAGCTATAGCAGCATCAACATTGGACTCTTTACTTGATCTCATGGCTGGTGGAATACTTTGGTTTACTCACTTGTCAATGAAAAACGTGAACATTTATAAGTATCCTATTGGAAAACTGAGGGTGCAACCAGTAGGCATAATTGTCTTTGCTGCTGTTATGGCTACACTCGGTATGTTGAGTTTGATTGCATATTTTCAGTGAACTTCCCCCTATACCCTTAATCTGTCCAATACCCATTAATTAATCTTTTCTCCGCACCATAATTATGATTTCCCGAGTTTTAATCTTCCCATGAATTTTTTCTACCTATATTGTTTGATGAGAATACATCTAAGCTGAACATGTGTTATATCTTCTATTCTCACTAATTCTTGGGGTTGCTACCCTTTAGTTGGTGCCATGCATTAAGCAGAGAGAAATAAAGGCATCTAAACATTTCTACATTCCTTTTGCATCATTGAAGTGTCTGCAACCTTTGTGCTTGTTTACAGGCTTTCAGGTGTTGATCCAAGCTCTAGAGCAACTAATTAAAAATGAACCTTCAGAGAAAATGTCCTCAAATCAATTGAAATGGTTGTATGCCATCATGATAACTGCTACAGTGGTAAAACTTGCCCTTTGGCTTTACTGCAGAACTTCATCAAACACGATTGTCCGTGCTTATGCTAAGGTTTTCTGCTTTATGCTTCAACCATGAGTTCAATTCTCTTTTCCTTCAATTGTCAGTTGCATAAGTCCTTGAATCTTGTTCCCAGGATCACTACTTTGACGTGGTGACAAATGTGGTGGGACTAGTTGCAGCTGTTCTTGGTGATGAATTTTACTGGTGGATTGATCCTGCTGGGGCTATTGTCCTTGCACTTTATACAATTATAAATTGGTCCGCAACTGTTATGGAAAATGCCAGTATGTTTTCTCTTCCTTGCTTGTTTTAATCTAATGATTATTTATCGTCATGATGATTTGATTTGGTTTCTTTTCACTTTAGGAAAAATTAGTGTATGCTTCCCCTTCGCTATTCATAATTTTGTATTTGATTTTGTGATGAGGCTTGTTTCTTGATGCAGTTTCACTCGTGGGACAATCAGCTCCTCCTGATTTCTTGCAAAAAGTAACATATTTGGTATTGAGGCACCCCTTAGTGAAGCGTGTTGACACTGTCCGTGCTTATACCTTTGGCGTCCTTTATTTTGTGGAGGTCAGTTTTGTGTGCAGTTCTCTTCTTGTGGCACTAAATTGATCTATGGCCAATAATAATTTCTTTTCATCTTATACAGGTAGACATAGAACTCCCTGAAGAGTTACCTTTAAAAGAAGCACACACCATTGGAGAGGCCCTGCAGATAAAGATTGAGAAAATTCCAGAAGTTGAGCGTGCATTTGTTCATCTCGACTTTGAATGTGAACACAAACCTGAGCACTCTATTCTTAGTCGTCTTCCCAATACTGATTCTTGATCTTGGAGCATCTTGTGCGGTTGAAACTTGAAAGAGCCAATATTGGGTTTACAGATTTCTATGCACAATGTTCTTCTGACCCCTCAGAGGATAGAAGTGTCACATTTTGGCAAGTGAATCATTTCTCTTGATAATGGTTGAGATGCTTTTGAAGAAATCTGTGCCATATGTTTCTGCATCTAGTTTTCATTTTTTGATAATTTGAAGTTCGGAACTACCGATGAATAAGTTTATGAATTTATCCTTTTGGAATATGTGTTGCTTTTCAATAAATGAAACTTATTTCATTTCAAATGTGTCCAGCCTGACGTCAAAATTTCTGATCATCAAATTTCTGTATCATCTGTTGTTTGTTAAGCATTAATTTCATATCTCTGCTTTCAAAATAAGCTAAATATTCTTCCAAAACTTTGTTTTACTCTGGCGTGGGGTTGCTACTAAGAGCAACTCAATGAAAACCATATCCTGGCTGAGTGCTTAACCAGCCTAAGGTACATGTGGCTACCAAGGAATTGAAACCTTGTCTTGCATTTCAAATGACTTTTAGCTTAAATTTCAAAACAGGCAAGTTTTTGAATTGCAGATTCATCTGTTGATGAGCTCATCGCTGCTCAACTGGCGAAGGACGGTTCATCCACGCAGGTTATATATGTCAAATATCCCCTGAATTCCTCATCAACCATTTCACTGTAACTGTTGTACATGTGAGCAAATTACTTAATTTAATCTCTCAACTGATTGTTCAGGTACCAAAAAATCACATTTACATCATCTTAGCATAACTTCCCTGCTCAAGTGAATTGTTCTTGGTAGTCATACAACTATCACCTTTCAACTCTAGCTAATAAATGCTGTCTCCTCTCCATCGAGTGAAAGGAAATAAAGCCATATGAAGAAACAATAAAAACTTGACGAACGTTAAGCCATTCTCCACAGGGAAAAATTCTCGGGTGTGCATGCTTGGATTTAACAGTCATCAAGCAAAATGTCCCATTCTTCATTCATTTGTTGTTGAATCAAAATCCTCCCCAAAAAGTAAAAACGATTACCTAACTGTGAGATTTCAGAAAACAAGAGATCAAAATAACATGATCATCAGTCAAGGTAATCTTATTTGTAAATGCAAGTCCCACTGCAGTAATTGTTTTGGTAAATAAACTAAGCTATTACACTGCCAACAGCAACAGAGAGCATTATGGTGAAGAACTCACTTAAGAACTTGGCAAAAGCCGGCCATTGTACATCTTATCAAGCAATTGACGTGCATCAGGCCTCCTTAGAAGACCTTTGTTATTTGGTAAACCAGTGCCTAAACAAACAGGACAAACAAGTTTCCCTCGACCTACTCAACCAAAATGGAAGAAACACTTGTCACTGACAATTTAATGTCAACACGGATTAAGGGCAGCAGGTTGGAGGTCAAAGGTAATACTGCTGTTATTTGTGTCAACTAGAGTCTCATGATGACAGATGCAGTTTTGGCACAATTCAAGTGACAGCTATTTCAAACATCAATGCATATCTAGAATAGCCAGCATACAAAAATAAAATACCATATAATGTGGTGAAGCAGCTGATGAAGAGAAAAGGGTTTTGAAGAAGAGAACATACCATAACAATTTGGGCATTCAGTGAACTCATAAACATCTTTTGCTCGTTTTCTGTTAAGAGCTTTCCATTTTCCTGTACCACCACACATATCACCTAAATAAAAAGCAATGAACATCTCATGGGCTGAAGACAGGATTAGCCATACATTTCATCTAGGCCAAAGAGAGCAAGGAAACAATGTAAAAAGTTGCCAGGTGCAGATACTAACAGACTGAAAAAGCATGGATATATGAAATGAAATTAGAAAGGAAAGTGTGACACTAACAGAGTACAGCACCACTGCCCCCACAATTTCGGCAAACAGGTCTTTCTTTTGCATCCAGAGCAATTGCACTTGGTAAAGAAGCAGAGCTACCAGAACTGCTAATCAAAGCTATACTCGAACACAAACATGTAAGACACACACGTCTGGATGTTGATTCTTGAGATCCCTGTTGTTAAAAATGGTTACTTAAAATCAGACTAAAAAAGCCAAATCCATAAAAGCCTCATTTTCTTTCAATTTTAACCATTTTATGATAATTCAATCAAATAACATCCAACTAAAATTGGCGGAAAAGGGATGAAACCTTTGTCTTTGGAGGTTCTACCGAACCATTCGAGGCTTCTAAACCACAGCTCTCATTTTCCAAACTGCATCTCACCTGAATTCCAACCCGCCTCGAGTTTACTGTGAATTATTCAAAGCATCAAACACCATGTTTCACCAAAAAAAAAACATTCACACTCATAAACCCACAATTAGCAGCAATACTAATGAAAAATACAAGCTTCTGACACAGAAAGTTCACCGAAAGTCGGTAACTTCACTCGGTTTTCCGATTCAAAGAAGAAAAATAGTTCCAATTCATTCATCAACGGGTACTGGGTACACAAGATACAGAGAAGAAAAGCTGCAGAATGAGAGTACTCACAGGGATTAGAAGGGGGTTTTGACGCAAAACCGAAACATTGAGGAATTGCAGAGAGATGGGAAGAGGCTGCCATTGATGAGCTCTGTCCGTCTCCCACTCTCTATCCGGACAGATTCTAGACGACGTGGAGGGAAATTTCTACACCGCACAAAAATTAACAAAAAAAATTTTGATTGATCGAATATACACCGTTTGATTACAAAAGGTAAAATGCCAATTTTTAGTCCCTCAACTTTAGTATTTTGTATAATTTTTATTCCTTAATTATTTTAAACACTTTTAATCCATCATTTCTAAGTGTTTGTTTGGATAAAAATTAATAAAAGAGAAGAAAAGGAGGGAAAGAGACAGAAATAAAGAAGAAGTAAAGGGAAGGAAATAATTGATGTTAATTTTATTTGGATAGATAAAAGTAGAAGAGAAAGATGGATAATATTTTTATTTAATTAAATAAATTTTAATAAAATAAAATAAAATAAAATA